TAGTGTTGTTGTACGTTGAACTCCGTATTTCGCCAGGTTTTTTCACTGTTTGTTTCATGTGAATCTCAAAGAACTGGCTGCCACTGATTTGTCTTTAATGCAACAGGACTTCCAATCACAGCTGCATTCCCATGCATTGTTCTGCTATTTGCGCAGGTTCATAGCCTTTCTGTCAGTGATGTTACACCAGCATATCTTTGATTTTACAAGCAAACTGGGACAAAACTATGTGATAACTAATGGATATATGTATGTGTACATGTGCATATGCGTGTGCGTGTGTGTTTGTGTGTGTGTGTGTGTATGTAAGTGTGTGTGTCTGTGGGTGTATTTGCGTGTGTGTGGGTGAGTGTGTGTGTGTGTGTGTGTGAGTATGTAAGTGTGTGTGTGCGTGTGTGTGAGTGCGTGCATGTGTGAGTCTGTGTGTGTGTGAGTCTGTGTGTGTGAGTATGTGTATGTGTGTGTGTTAGTGTGTGTGTCTGTGGGTGTATTTGCGTGTGTGTGAGTTGTGTGTGTGTGTTTGAGTATGTGTGTGTGTGTGTGAGTGAGTGTGTGTGTGTGTGTGAGTGAGTGTGTGTATGTGTGAGTGTGTGCGTGTCTGTGTGAGTGTGTGTGCGTGTGTGTCTGTGTGTATGAAATAGAGTGGGCTACTGTTGTTTATTAAGGTAGCACGCACTAAATTGTGATGAAAAGACGTGCGCAAAGCATCGGTATTAGCAGAGGGACGCACTACATTTAAGAGCGGAAGATTACACTTTGTATATTGACGTTGGATCCAAATTTTTTTGAAATTATTGACGATGCGCACCGAACGGGGCCCTGCGGTCATGCGTTTTTGCAGTGTTTCGTGCTATAATGAGATCGCTCGGAAACCCAGTAGCTAGAGATGTGTGAAATACTAGTTGTCGAATTTCGGGAATTTAATTGTCTATGCTGTAATTGTACAAGGAACATTCCCCAAAAATTTCACTCCCCCAGCTTCACGTTTCCCCCGTTAGTCATTTTCCCACCGGGAGCTTCCACGGGGCCATACGTGAGAACCGCGCATGCCAGAGCTGAATATGATAACTTTAAGTTGCACATCGGTTGAGGACATTCCGCTTAAAATTTCAGCCTCCCAGCTTTCCTGGTTGGACACACCGGGGTCGTCGCAATATGCGTTTTCGCATTTGCATATATGCAAAAGCGCATAAAATGTGGTATTACTCTAAAGGGGTAAGCGGGATCCGATCTCGCATTTTATGGCGTGGTTGATTTGTTCTTTTGCTGTTGAACTAATTAATTTTTTGCATGAAATTTCTGTATATAAAGGCTGCGCGTGATACTTTTTACTCATTGTTGGTCATTATTGTTTCTGTGTTCTGCCAATATACTTCTAAATTACAATAATTTTGCGCATTCCGTCTGGACGGCAGTTCAATAAAGGTATTGGGGTGTTGCTGAGAAGTTCATCTTGTCGTGGATCATTGGCCCAAATAGTACTACGAGAAATGGGAAAGCTTGAAAACGGGGAAAATACGATTTTGCCTATTAGGAGCATGGGACCAATTTTCCCGCACGTAAGGGCGCATGAAAGTTTTAGAGGAAAAACTGCTTAATCTGGGACTAGAAAAGCTGGAAAGTTGAAATTTTAAGGGTGTGCCTCCTTTCCACGTAAAACTTAAAAACTTCAATTCAGCCCTTAAGTTATCTGGTCATAAAAAGATACTCCAAGCATCCTTCGCTGCAGTGCTTTCTTCGCATGGACCCTTATCGCCTTTACACTCCGTACAGAGTTTTCTGCGATTTTCAGTAGTTCCCACTGCTCTTCAGGCGAGCTCACCGGAAGATTTTGGGAGTGGCAATATCACTTGGGATCGATTTCATGCAACATCCGATAAAAGCAAATCTACATGTATACCTATCTATCATGGTGGATGTTTGAATAGGTCTGCACCGGGCGGTCTGTTTCGAGCCTTCTCTCATTCTGCTGGGTCCCGTTGTTCATCTTCTGTTGTCTGCGTGTGTTCACAGAGATAGTACTTTTTAAGTGCGCAAGAAGCATTGCTTCCAGAAGTGGGTGCACTACTCATCAGGCTGTTGCACCATCCTGGCATATTTTCGAAATCTTTCTCACTGCAGCTCTTCCCCTCCTTGTCCCTCTTCTCCTTTAGGCGTCATGACCTTCTTATTTTACCCGTTCCCCTCTATTTCCATATGCTTGCACTATCTTCGATTTACCCTTATTGGATTCCACACCATTCCTTCACTCTACCACATCACGTCGAAGCGGAAAACCGTCCAGTAAACAGTTTTGCATAAAGGGCGCTTATTTTCTGCTGATAAAGTGCACTGTTCTTGGAACTTCTGAAACGAAGTCATTTTGAAGACTTAGTGTTTTCTGACTACTTGTTATCCATCTGTTAAAGGAGGGTGAAGAGAGGACGGGAGAGAAGTGTCGTGAATGGAGCCTTTTTTTGAAAATTGTTCTGCACTGCAAGGGAATCGAACCGCTCCTCTTCGTCTTCGGACGCGGCGTGTTACCACCACACCACCGGTACTTGTACTGCAGCTTCAGCCTGGCAGCACATCTACTGTCTCTATTTCTTTCAAAGCAAGATACACTTCTCTTTTCCTTTGTGACGGCTTCTTGGCCAGCTTTTCGCGGGTTTTCCGCGGCAGGAAGAGAGAGTGGGAGAAGAGGGAGGGAGAGCAACGGGAGGGAGAGAGATCGCGGTTTTGGCAGGTTGAAGAGATGCTTACTGTTTATGGATAGTATAAAATGCATGTTTTTTGCAGAAGCACAGGAACAGCTGGGTGGACGTGAAACAATGTCGATGTTGGATCAGCTACAGGAAATGGGCTTTGAACGCAGCATAGCGTACGTTCCAATTTCATGTTTGTGATTTACCAGCTTTCTGGCAATAAATAGTTGAGGGATATTGAGCTGACGATCTTCACTTCTGGCAGTATTACTTGTATCGCGTAATATATCAAATAGTGATTAATGGTTTTTGTTAAAAATAGATTAAAGACCAACTGCGT